GTGTGGTGAAGTATCTGAACTCTCACCCAAGCATTGGAGTTCAATACTCCGCATCTGCACAGGTGAAGCAGAAAGGGGTTGAGGTGCTGAAAGAGAAGGGGGAGAGGCTTGGAGAAGGCAAGCTTTTTCTCACTTGCTTTACTGATGCTACGTGGGCCTCTGAGAAGGAGGATTCCTCATCTGTGGGAGGATACATCTGCGTAGTTGGGGGAGGACCGGTTAGTTGGAGGTCAAAGAAGCAGACGGAGACAGCACTCTCTTCCGTGGAATCAGAGTACATGGCGATGTTCCATGGGGTGAAGGAGGTGATTTGGCTGAGGAGGCTGTTGGAGGAGATTGGCCAGGAGCAAAAGGTTGCTACGCCGCTGTTTTGTGATAGCAAGGGAGCTCTTGGGATGGCCAGGAACGCTGTGCTTCATGGGCTGAATAAGCACATGCGTATCAAGTGGCACTGGCTGCGTAAGGAGGTGAAGAGGGGGACGGTGAATCCGATCTACATCAAGACTCACCAGCAGCCAGCAGACTTCCTCACCAAGAGGCTTGCGGATGAGTCTCATTGGCGTTGTGTGCGCATGAGTGGAATGAGCATGAACTAGTATGGAATGATGGGGATGCAGCCGGCAGGCTGAGGGGGAGTGTGTTGGGTGCAAATTCACATTGCACGACATCCTGCCGTCTGTTTGTACGAGTATGCGTGTGCGAATGCATTTGCGTGTGAATGGTATGTTTGTGTGTTTGTTTGCTTTCGCAATTTTCGCTTGAAGCATTTGCAGGTACTCGCAAAATGTGCGCTTCGGCATAACATTGTACGCGCTATGAACAGTACAAGCAGAAAGGACGAGCTCGCAAAGGAACCCAAGATGGAAGCTTTGCGGTTCAACTTACTTGATTGCGCAGATTCAGTTCTATCCAACTCGAAATTGTACTGTTTTGTTTGGTTGACTATAGTGTAGCAGGGCAGGCACTATAGGGGTACAATTTAGGTGAAGGTTGGATGTTGTTTGTCTGTATCTGCATGCTACAGGGCCAGGGGAAACCAGCGGAACCAGCATTTGGCTGGTTGGGCAAAGACAAAACAGGTTCTGTTTTTAGGACCTGAACCTGGTTGTTGTTTTCCCAGGTTGGAAAAACAGAACCAGAGGTTGTTCACCAACCTATCACCTGCTATTTTGTCCAGCCAGGTTGGTTCTGTTGCTTGGAATTATTTGGGATCATCCCTGGTTGTTCCCAGGTTGATTCCCAAGGTCCTTGCTAGCTAGAACTATTTATTCCTTCTCTGTTTGTACCTGAATATAGTGAAATTGATTCAAGCGAATTCCTTCCTTGCTGGAATTTCGTTTCTACGCGATGCGACGGCGGAATGCTACCCGAGTCAACGCTAGTATGCTAGCACTCTAACGCTAGGCTAACGCTGTCCGAGCCATAACTTCCTAATGGCAGAACTTTTCGCGAGGCAACTTGGCTTATTTTAAAGCTCTTAGAGTGAGCTTCGATATAGCAAATTCTCAGCTAAATCCGGTCGACGGTCTGCACGATACGCTGCGCGACGTTCAAGGTACTCTTGCTGTTTTGACTAAGTCCCTCTTGATCCCTCTCTCTACAAACTCGGACCCGAGGATAGGGGCTGGTCTTGTACCAGGCACCCAAGGACCCTTGGAGGTGACCCCGAGGAGAGGTTTTAAGTGTGATAAAGTCTTAATAGCTTGAGTTTATTAGGCCCTTACACCAACACATGGCAATGTTCCATAGGGTGAAGGAGGTGATTTGGCTGAGGAGGCTGTTAGAGGAGATTGGCCAGGAGCAAAAGGTTGCTACGCCGCTGTTTTGTAATAGCAAGGGAGCTCTTGGGATGGCCAGGAATGCTGTGCTTCATGGGCTGAACAAGCACATGCGTATCAAGTGGCACTGGCTGCGTAAGGAGGTGAAGAGGGGGACGGTGAATCCGATCTACATCAAGACTCACCAGCAGCCAGCAGACTTTCTCACCAAGAGGCTTGCAGATGAGCCTCATTGGCATTGTGTGCGCATGAGTGGAATGAGCATGAACTAGTATGGAATGATGGGGATGCAGCCGGCAGGCTGAGGGGGAGTGTGTTGGGTGCAAATTCACATTGCACGACATCCTGCCGTCTGTTTGTACGAGTATGCGTGTGCGAATGCATTTGGGTTTGAATGGAATGTTCGTGTGTTTGTTTGCTTTCGCAATTTTCGTTTGAAGCATTTGCAGGTACGCACGCATTGTTCGCTTTGGCATAACATTGTACGCGCTATGAACAGTACAAGCAGAAAGGATGAGCTCGCAAAGGAACCCAAGATAGAAGCTTTGCGGTTCGGCTTACTTGATTGCGCAGATTCAGTTCTATCTAACTCAAAATTGTACTGTTTTGTTTGGTTGACTATAGTGTAGCAGGGCAGGCACTATAGGGGTACAATTTAGGTGTAGGTTGGATGTTGTTTGTCTGTATTTGCATGCTGCAGGGCCAGGGGAAACCAACGGAACCAGCATTTGGCTGGTTGGGCACAGACAAAACAGGTTCTGTTTTTAGGACCTGAACCTGGTTGTTGTTTTCCCAGGTTGGAAAAACAGAACCAGAGGTTGTTTACCAACCTACCACCTGCTGTTTTGTCCAGCCAGGTTGGTTCTGTTGCTTGGAATTATTTGGGATTTTTTCGCGTAGCAGCTTGGTTCATTTTAAAGCTCTTGGAGTGAGCTTCGATATAGGAAATTCTCAGCTTAATCCGATTGACGGTCTGCACGATACGCTGCGCGACGTTCAAGGCACTCTTGCTGTTTTGACTAAGTCCCTCTTGATCCCTCTCTCTACAAACTCGGACCCGAGGATAGGGGCTGGTCTTGTACCAGGCACCCAAGGACCCTTGGAGGTGACCCCGAGGAGAGGTTTTAAGTTTGATAAAGTCTTAATAGCTTGAGTTTATTAGGCCCTTACACCAACAGTCCTAACCGCCCACACCTCCTCCTAGCCGCCCACACCTCCTCCTAGCCGCCCACACCTCCTCCCAGCCGCCCACACCTCCTCCTAGCCGCCCACACCTCCTTCTAGCCGCCCACTGGCACCTCTCACAGCGGCTGGCACCTCTAGCGCGCCACGGCCCGTAGCAGGCCGTTTTCGGGTTTTCTCACCATCGGTTTTCTCGTTCCCTACCGTTCCTTCACTGGGTTCACCGTTCGACTATGGCCGAAAGCTGCTACTCCTCGCCTAGTTTCACCTGGCGCTCCTAGTTGTTCTCGCTCCTCGCTCCAGTCGCTCCTCGCTCCAGCCTGTAATTTCTAGCCTGCTGTTTCTAGCTCCGGCCGTATCTCACTCCAACCGTTCCTGCTCCAGTCGCTTCTAGCTCAGTTTGCTCTGTGCTTTGGCCGTTCCTCGCCTAGTTTCACCATGGCATCTACTAGAGTTCTCTTGCAGCAGGGACAAGAGCTGTGGCAGTTTCAGCAGTTGGAACCTCAGCGTCAATGGCGCCCTCGGCAGCAGTGGCACCCTCAGCTGCAGTGGCGCCGTCAGCAGCAGTGGCGCCCTCAGCAGCCGTGGGGGCCTGGTGGTTCGGGTAGCGTTGGCTCCAGCAGCGGCCCAGCCAGCTTGGGGTTCGCGGTGGTCGTGACGTCGGCCCTTGCCAGTACTGGATCCTGATTGGCCTTGGTGCTGGCACTACTTGCTGGCGTCTTGACCACTCTGCACACTTGCTGCTACAATCGCCTCGACGACCTTTATCGTGAGCGTTTTGGGTCTAAGTCGAGGCCACCGATCTTGCTCGGTCTGTCTCGTAGTGGTTACCGTGTGTTTGATATGTCTATGGATGCTGTTTATTCTGTCATGTATGGGTCTCTAGGCTTGCGTGTACCCAGCTTAGGCTCTTTGCCTGTTGCTAGTGTAGTTACTTGTGCTTTTAGTGTAGGTGCTTGTGTAGTCACTAGTCCAGCCGTGACGACTGCTGTTGCGTCGCTCTCCTTCACGCTGGACTCAGGTGCGTCGCAGTGCTCCGCGACCATATCACTGTCACACCTCTTTCGGCTCCAGTCCCAGTTGCCGTGGCTGATCCCAGTTCAGGACCAGCACTCGCTTGCAGGTCGACCGTTCTCCTGTCCCCGGCTGTCCTTTTTGGTTTCCTCACTGGTCTCTACATCCCCTCGTTCTCTCGGGTTTTGGTGGGTGTTGGATACCTTCAAGACCGTGGGATCACAGTCACTTTTCCTATGCACGAGTGAACGACGATCTGTACTGACGCTTCCACCAGGGCACTTCTTGCCATGTTCACCAGGGAGCCCCACTCATGTCTCTTTGTTCTGCACACTACGTTATCCAGGTAGCAGAGCCCGGTCAGGTGACTGTGTCCCCCCAGGTAGCAGAGTCCGGTCAGGTTACTGCGTCCCCTCCGGTTGCTGTGTCTAGTGAGGTTGCTGCGTTTGGTCAGGCTGCTACGTCTTGATCCTGTCGGTCTCTCGCCCACCCGACCGTCTTGTGGCACCACCGTCTTGGCCACCAGTCGGTCCCCCGACTCCGCAGCATTGCAAGTCACAGTCTTGTCTTAGGTCTCCCGCGCGTCTTTCCGTCGCTCCCTCCCTCGCTTGCTCCACCTTGCACTCCTTGCGTTGCCGGCCGCCTGCGTGCCACTCCGCACTCCTCCTCCCTTCGTTCGGCCACTGCTCCCTTCCAGGTTCTCCACTTGGACGTCTGGGGCCCTACCCCCATGATGGGACCTAAAGGGAGCGCTACTTTCTAGTGGTCGTTGACGACTACTCCAGGTACACCACGGTGTTTCCTCTCTCGAAGAGGTCCAAGGTGACTTTTACGCTGATCCGGTGGCTTTTGGCCACTGAGGGCACTCGTGGTGGTCATGTCCGTTGTCTCCACTCCGACTGTGGGGGTGAGTTTCGCTCTAGCGTCCTTGCCGAGTTCTGCGGCGAGCATGGCATAAGACAGTCCTGGATGCTGCCGGAGTTCCCACAGCGGAATGGGGTTGTTGAGTGCCGCATTGGCTTGGTCATGGACATCGCCCGCACGTCCATGATTCATGCCTGTGTGCCCCATTTTCGGCGGCCCTACGCGCTTCGCTACGCCGCGCACCAGCTGAACCTCCAGAGGTTTCACCGACCCGTCTTTGGACCGGGTCCCCTGGTGTTGGGTCGGCCTTTTGTGTCTGGGGCTGCCTTGCGCTTGTCCGCGACACCTCTGCGGACAAGCTCTCGGCTCGCGCCATCCCCTGTGTCTTCCTTGGTTTCCCGGTGTGTTCTCCCGACTACTCCTTTCACCACCCGCCCCTCCACCAGTTTCTTGACTCTCGTGACGTCCAGTTTGACGAGTCCGTGTGCTACTACACCCGGTACCCCTATCAAGGTATCCCGGTCCTCTCTCCCCCCCTCTTCCTCGCACCCCCTCCTCCCCCTGCCCCCGCTCCTCCGGTACCCCCGTCCCCCCCTGGTCCTGCCCCGTCAGGTGTGTCTCACGCTACCCCTCTACCCTCGGTCGCGCGTCACGTAGCGTCTCCCTCCCCACAGTCCTCGTCACAGTCCCTTCAGCAGCCTTCGGCACTTCCGCGACAGGTTACTGTGGACTCCGGTGGTGTTGGAGCTTGAGGTACTGCCACTGGTGGTCCTCGGTCTGGGGGCGCTCGTTCGAGAGGTGCTGGAGCTGGAGGTGCTGGGGCAGGTGGTGCTAGCTCTGAGGGTGCTGGAGCTGGAGGTTCTGACACTGGAGGTGCTAGTTTTGGGGGTGTTGGAGCTGGAGGTGCTAGTTCTGGGGGTGCTGGAGCTGGAGGTGATGGCACTGGTGGTGCTAGTTCTGGGGGTGCTAGAGCGGGAGGTGCTAGCACTGGCGGTGCTAGTTCTGGGGGTGCTGGAGCAGGGGGTGCTGGCGCCATAAGAGCTGGTACTGAGGAAACGGGAGCTGGAGGCTCGCCTACTGCGTCGCCCACTGCGCCTCCCCACCGCCACGACACCCGTTTCCAGGCCCTTTGCCGGCTTGAGCGCGAGGAGCAGGAGCAGTTGGAGCAGGAGAGGCAGGAGTTGCAGCAATTGGACCACCAGCAGCAGCAGTAGCAGCCGTCACTTTGCAGTAGCTTTTCCCTCCAGTGAGTGGCCTTCGTACCCTTGGTCTTCCTTCTTCTCCTCCTGTTCACTCACAGTCTCGTACTACGTAGAGCCCTACGTTTCCTCCTCTAGACTCGACTCCGGCTGTTTTCTCTCCTCCTCAGTCACCGTTGCCTCCTCCTGTTGTTCGGCACAACTGGATCAGTCGTTGTCCTCCACGTGATCGGCCCTCGTCTCTTACCGACCTCCGCACCGTCTTGTTTTGTTCTCCTCCTCCTCGTTCTCCGCCTATATCTGTTCTCCCCTCACCTCCTACATCGTCTCTCACCGTTGCCTCTCACCCTATCACTGACTATTACCGTGTTGCTCGCCCTGTTGTCTCTCGTGCTCTCGCTTCACTTGTCACCGACCCTCGTGCCTCTCCGTCGCCTGCCTCGGCTCTTACTGCCGCTGTCGCTGACTTTGCTTCCACCCCCCATCTTGACTATGCCACGCGTGTGGTGGCTTCTCCACCTCTCCGCCCTCTGTCCGTTGGGGGTGAGTCTGCCCTTGGTTGTGACGTCCTAGAGGACAGGCAGTTTGAGCTGGACTTCCTAGCAGCCGCTTCCCCCTCTCTCTGCGCCATACTGCTTTCCCTTGAGGGAGACCCCGATGCCCTTGACATACCGACACCTCGCACGTATCGTGAGGCAGTGTCAGGGGAATGGGCCTCTCAGTGGAAAGCGGCTATGGACTTGAGTTAGCGTCTTGGAGATCCACAGGCACTTACGTCGACGCAGTTCCCCCTCCCAGGGCGAACGTTGTCGATGGCATGTGGCTCTTCAAGGTGAAGCGGCTGCCTCGTCCATCGCCTGTGTTCAAGGCGCGCTACGTGGCTAAGGGTTTCAGTCAGCGTGAGGGAGTTGACTTCTTCCAGACCTTTGCCCCGACCCCGAAGATGACTACTCTTCGGCTGTTACTACACGTAGCAGCATAGCGAGACTACGAGCTGCACTCCCTTGACTTCTCCACTGTGTTTCTCCAAGGCCGCCTATACGAGGAGATCTGGCTGCGCCGTCCTCCTGGCTTCACTGACACCTTCCCACCGGGGACCCAGTGGAGTCTGAGGCGGCCAGTCTACGGTCTCCGCCAGTCACCCTGTGAGTGGCACGACACTCTTCGCTCCACGCTTCGTAACCTTGGGCTTCGTCCTTCCTCTGCCGACCCGTCACTGTTTGTTCGCACTGGTTCCACTCCTTTTTTTATACTAGTGTACGTTGATGACTTGGTCTTTGCTACAGCAGACAGGGCAGCTCTGGATGAGGTGAAATCCGAACTGCAGAAGAGACACAAGTGCACTGACCTCAGTGAACTTCAGCGCTACCTTGGCCTGCAGATCACCAGGGACAGAGCCGCTCGCACCATCACACTGACTCAGTCACACATGGTGCATCAACTAGGAATACCTTAGTGAGGAAATCCGCCGGCTACTCGGAAGTTGGGATGTATTCCATCGCAATCTTCTTGCGATCCACCATCTGCTATAGCCAGGCGTAACGTTGCTCCATGTCCTTGAGGTTGCCTTTCAGCCCCAAGCCCTTAGCGACCGCGATGGCGGACTGATTGTCCACGTTCAGAGCAATTGGCGTCCCAACGTTGAGGAGCTGGAACTCGGCGAGGAGGAATCAAATTCGACGAGCCTCTGTGCCGGCTTCGGTGGCCACAATGCACTCCGACTCCGTCGAAGACAGAGTCACTCACTAGATGCGTTGGCTCGTCCAGGAGACAGCTGCGCCGCCGAAGGTGAAAATGTAGCCATTCCTGCTGCTGCGCGTCTGCTTGTCGCCAGCGTCGTCCGCGTGTGCATAGCCCACCAGTTTCAGAGCCTCGGATCCGCCGCCAAACTCCAGAGCGAGATCGCGCGTGTCAGCGAGGTAGGTGGCAGCGATCGACCTCGCGCCAATGCTGGTCGCTCCTCGGTGTCAGGCCGGACCCAAACTTGCTGCACGCAAAATCGATGTCGTGCCGAATCGTGGTGGCAGCAAACTGCAGCGAACCGACCTTCTTACGGTACTCCTCCTCTTCACGCGACTTGAAGTCCTCATCATCGAAAGTCAGCTCGGCGTAGGCATCAACGGAAATGGGCGTCTTCGGACGCCGACCAGTCCGCTCCTCGTCAATGAAGCGCCTACGCAGCTTGTCGACGTAGGGCTGCTGGTGCAGCCACAGCTTTCGCGCAGGTCTGTCGCGCACAATTTCGAGCCCCAAATACTTCTCGACCGGGCTGATCTCGCGCAGCTCAAAGGCGGCCTCTAGTAGCTCCTTCAGCTCCTTCAGCATTCCAGTGCTACTGCTGCTGGCGGCGAGCAGATCATCGACGTATACGAGGACCCAGCACGCTACTCCGTCGTCGCCAACTCTGAAATAGAGAGCCTCGTCGACTTGGCTTTTGCTCCAGCCGGCGCCAATCAGCACAGCGCCGAGCGCCGAGTACCACAACAGAGGGCTCTGCTTCAGCCGGTACAAGCTCTTCAACAGCTTGCATACGCGGCTGGTGCCATCGTTGTAGTAAGCCGGCTGATCCATGTAGAGCACGTGGTTGAGCTTGCTTTGCACGAAGGCAGTCTTCATGTCTAATTGCATGAGGTGCAGGTCGAGGACGGCGATGATGCCGAGGAAATTCCACAGCGTGACATAGCTTCCGACTGGTGCGTACATCTCGTCGTAATCGGCTCCGTAAACCTGCGTGAAGCCTTTCACCACTAGGCGCGCTTTTTCACGGGCAACCGTGTCATTGACGTGGTACTTTGTCGCCATAACCCAACAGTTCTGCATGACATTGATGCCGTGCGGACCCTCGACAAGCTCCCATGTGCCATTGGAGATTAGACTTCGAATCTCCTCGTCCATTGCCGCTTTCACCGCCTTCCCTTTCCAGCTCGCTAACGCCTCCTTCACCATCATGTTAGCGATGTCCCAGCGGTGCTCTGGGTCGGCGTGCATATCAAGGTCGAGCTCGGGCAAGTTGACGTCGGATGGCGCATCGTCGGCGCATCGTCAACGGCAGGCAAGCATGGTAGCTCAGCTTCTCGCGAGGCTTGCCATTGGAGCGGGTGGAACGTCGAACTGCTGGCTTGTCGACCGAGACTTCCACCACGTCGCTGTCACTGGACTTCTCCTCGGTCGACAGCTCTCCTCCATCGCCGCCGACGAATTCAACAACATTGTTCGATGTGCCGTCGTCGAACTGCTCCCTTGTCGTCCACTCCTCTAAAGCGAGCTCCTCGTTCGACGGCTCCCCTGTCAACGGCTCCTCTAAAACACGCTTCTCGTTCGACGGCTCCCATGTCGGCGGAGACTCTGAAATGCGCTCCCCGTTCGACGGCTCCCCTGTCGGCGGAGACTCCTCTCCAACGCCAACTTTCTCGCCAATCAGACCACGTCGACTGCCAGCGATGCTGATGGGTGGAGCCGAAGGCAACGCACCAATGCTCCCCTCATCGCTGGCGGCTGAGGTCGATGCCGACTTTGGCAGATCGGCGGCGAGCGATGGGAGGGGGACGGATAGAGGCGGAGGAGCTTTTGAGGAGGGCGGAATGGAGGGAGCAGAATCGTCTAATGGAACTTTGACTAGGCCTTTTTTCCTCGATAGAGGTGACGTGGCGAAGCAGCAAAACTACTGGAATATATTATGTATGGAAGGAGAGAGGTTGGTGGAGAAGAGAGTGGAGGTGGCGCAAGGCCTCATATCACCAGCCCCGTATGCCAGCCCTTTTGCCATCAGTTTGTCACAAGTTACGCTGATAAAAGCGGCAGAAGAGATAGTTCTAGGCCCGCTCGGTCACCATCTTACCAGGCTACGTGAGTCCGTGCTCTGCAAAGGAGGTGAGCTGGTGGCTCCGAAAACCCTAAGGAGGGCAATCAGAGAGCCAGTCGTGAAGTCAAAGCAGCAGGTCACTTGGGAGGAGGAGTGTGGGGGAACAAATGACTGGGCAAGAACCATTGCAAAGCGGGACTCGATGGTGGTCCCATCCAGAGCAAGGGAAGTGCTTCTTCGGCTCCACAGTAGGAACCTGTAAGTGGGCACCAGACTCCCCTTTTCTGGGCAGCTTGGCACGCTGTCCCCACTATGGGGTACAAGAGACAGTGGATGACTGCCTGATGACGTGTTCGGAGGTGGAAGGGATTGTCAAGAGATTACAGGCGGCGCTGAAAGTTTTGGGGGTAAAAGAGGAGGCGAAAAGTGTGGGTAATCTCATGTTCCGTGACGCAGGCATGAAGTCATGTCTCCTGGAGCTTCCGCTAGTCGCCATCACCTTTCATCAGCTCTAGCTTAAGAGGTGTGAGGCGGTCTTAAGACAAGAGAATTTTCAATACAAGAGGGTGGTGAGAAAAATCATGGTGAATTTCGTGCGGCACGTGGAAGTTGATGGAAAGCGCGCGAATCTGGAGAGCGTAACCAGAGATTAAGTCCGCCGACTTCGGCGAACCATTGCGTGCAGCTCACGTAACCTAAAACCATGACCAGGTACGCCTTGGAAAGGTCTTAATCTCTAATCTCAATAATCGTAAAGCACGCCTTCCAAGACCTTTCGTGTTGGAAAGGTTTTGCAGTGAATAGCAAATGTTAGTTGGTGCTTGTTGGGTGCGAGATCAATTCCAGCCCGCAACAAGTCTAACCGCCACATTTTACCCAAACCCTTAGCCCACAACCAGCTAGAGCAAAATACCACAACCACCTACACAATCAACACTCCCCCTTGCTCGTGCTGGAGGTGGCTGAACACCACTGGGCAAAATCCTTCACTTCACTCCCCCTTGCCCAGGGAAGGGCGCCATCCACAGCATGAGGTCGTCAAGGCAGAGAAGCACCACTCCTCCCACATCCTGCTCAGGCACCATGCTGACATGGGGCTGCATCCCCATCAAGGACATGCACACACCATGCCGCTCAAAAGGGAGGGGTTTGGTGAGTATATCCGCTGCTTGACGGTTGGTGGGGCACCACCGAAGGATCACCTCGCCGCACG